TTTGCTCCTCTCAAAATACAAGTCAAATAAGTATATAATTCAATATGGAATATGTTGTGAGCATTTGCGCTACACAAAAAGTTCAACATATAATACTAAAAAGTTGTGTACTGCCGTATTAAAAAATATATTGTGGTAATTGCAGAAGGCATTCTACTCTTATCAATTTAAATAGTACCCATGGATTTATCTTCCTCTATTTCTTTATCTATTTTCCAAAATTATCTTACATTTAAGATTTTCAACACAAAACTTTTCAACAAATTCGATTATAACCAGCCCGACAACTCCTAACCTGAATTTGATCATCCAAAAATACCATTCTTTAATCATCCTTTTTCTTGTATTGAACAATAATGGAGAAATGTCTTAAACCTTTTGAGTAGCAAATGTTAAGAATGATTGTACTGCTTAAGAAAACTTCTACTCTAAATATTGTGCAGTTTGTTCTTGTGTGGTTTCTCGTGTTTAAATTCTTAAACTGCATCCATATTGGCTCTTCTTTTCTCACAACATTCGATTTCTCAACCACATCAATTTAAATCATGGTATTTAAATACAATTTGTTATAGTTTAAGTTGTAACAATTTATTGCATATGAATGTAATATATATTATTTTTCTTCTTTATTTTCTATGTAACTCATGTAAATGAATTTATAGATTTTCCTGACATCAACATTAAATTTTAACAGATACATGAGGTGAGAGACTAAAATGATCACTATGCGAATAATTTAGAGACTAAATAGGATTACCTTGTCAACTACTATGTAGTGTAATAACTCCTCTATTACCATTCCAAATGGATGGTCATAAGGATTCATTGGGCTGAAAAAAATTAAGTATAAAACAAATACTACATTATAAAAAATCATGAGTGTTTAAAAAGATCACCCTAATAATTATTAAAGGAACGAGTTTACCCCCAATAATTGAGTAATTAAACATGCAATTTTGCCTCCACTGAGGCTCAATCTCATGATCTCCCATATAGGAGAGCCACTACATGTCATCTGAGCACAAGGTGCTTGACTACTTTCAATTCTTCTATTAACATGTTTTTTTGAAATTTATTGTTATTTTTTAAAACCACTATTTGATTAATTAAGATTAATAATAAAATTTCACCTTTTTATTATTCTCTCCCTTCAAAATGCACTTGAACTCCACAATTTTGTAACCAACAAGGCAACAATGCCCAAACACTCCACCTAACTAAAGAAAAAATTTGTGTAATAAAAGTTAGGGACATGATTTATCGTCACTAAGAAAGCAATTGGTCTCGTGTGAAATGTGAAATGTGTAACACTTCCATAGGTCCAAATATATATCTTATCCCACAAATCCTAATATGATGGATTTGAATAGTTGATAATTAGGTAGTGAAATCCATGTACCCAATACACGATAGTGTGTTTGTGAAATGAGTTTTGGGATGATTTAAGAATACTATATTGGCATTGTCAAATGGATTTGGAACGATTTAAGAATACTATATTAGCATTGTCAAATGGATTTGGACAACCAATATGTGTAATCTTCATAGTTCATTCATGTTTGGGTAGTTTTAAATGTAATCGGGTTAATACTTCAATTCGAATTTGGAAATAACTAAACAAATGAATATCTACACAAATTATTTTGTGGACCCAAGTTCACCTTTAATTCAAATAATTTGTGGACCCAAGTTGGGTCCACCTTTAATTCGAATTTGGAAATGACTAAACAAATGAATATCTATCAGCAAATTATTGTATGGATCATAACAAAAAGTACATTTTAATATACTAAATGTACATTATTACAATATAATGTACATCCCCTAAATATATTTACATTTTTAATATACTAAAAGCACATAATTTTTGTACTGAATGTACATTATTTTACAGTATACAAAATATGGTCCACACAAGCACACAATAATGATTGATATCTACCTTATATGGACAAATTATTTTGTGGACCCGAGTCCAAAAACACATAATTTACCTACGGAATGGTCACAATTTACACACACAATTAAGTATATTAAAAAAAAAAAAAAAAAAAAAAAAAAAAAAAACCAACAACAGCAGCTATTTATATTGCCGGCTAGCATATGGGACATACGTATAAAGCCACGGACTTGATAGAATAGTCCTAGGAGTTAACGACGAATATGACGTTTATAATTCTTTGTTCCTCTTGATTCTTGAACAACAAATGCCTATTTATATTCACACAACAAAGTTGAAACCCAAGAAATCTGCACAACTTAGGAGTATCCGTCCAGTCTGTCTAGACATGTCTGGTGGAGATGGATGGCTCTTCCCCATTGTGGATGAGCCACCGGTGGTGGGTAGGAGCGGTGACGGTGGCAGTGGCGGCTTCGACTCAAAAACCGGAATCTATCACTCCCTCCTCCAACTAGATGAACACACCAAAATCCCTACTAGCCCTGACCTTGACACAGCCACCTTTGTGCTGTCTCAGTTCCCCGACATTTCCAGGGCCGAATCCCGGGTTGCGCTTGTTGATTCTGCAACCAACCAGAGCGTGACATACGCTCAGATTCACCGCTCCATTGCCTCGCTAGCCACGGGGCTGCACCACGGGCTCGGGGTTAGGAAAGGCGATGTGGTTTTTGTGCTGTCACCAAACTCACTGTTGTACCCGGTTATGTGCCTTGCGGTGCTCAAGGTTGGTGCCATTCTCTCCACATCCAACCCACTCAATACCCAGGCGGAAATCGCTAAACAGGTTAGTATCTCTGGTGCAAAGCTGGCTATTGCTGCACCAGAAGAAGTGGACAAGTTAGTACCTACTGGGGTGCCTACCCTTTACACTACACGGCCCAAAGATGATGCTAATGCGCTATCCATAGAAGAGTTGATTGAGAACTGCGAGCCTCGGGACCTGCCCGAGTGTCGCCCGTCTCAATCAGACACGGCTGCAATACTATACTCTTCGGGTACTACAGGGGTTAGTAAAGGTGTTGTGCTAACTCACGCGAATCTGGTAGCTGTTATGACTCTGCTAAAGTGGTATGTGGCTTCAACGTCGTCTCAAGACGACGTCTTCTTGTGCTTCATACCCATGTTTCACATCTATGGGCTATCGTTTTTTGCGCTAGGGCTGTTCTGTTTGGGTACCACTACGGTCTTGATGCAAAAATTCGACTTCCAGGCCATGCTGGAAGCGATTCAGACTCACAAGGTAAACAACATCCCAGCAGTTCCCCCGGTGATTCTTGGGCTAGTGAAGTATAACAACAGAGGTGGTTATGACCTGTCCTCGTTACGAAGGGTTGGGTCAGGGGCTGCGCCCCTGAGCAAAGAGGTGGCTGATGGGTTCAGAAAGAAGTTTCCGTGGGTGGAGCTAAGGCCAGGGTACGGTTTAACTGAGAGCAGCGGGGCAGCTACATCTTTCGTTTCTAGTCAAGAGGCTAATGCACGTCCAGCCTCATCGGGGGTGTTGTTTCCATGCATTAGTGCTAAGGTAGTGGATACAGAGACCGGAGAGGCATTGCCACCATTGAAACAAGGGGAATTGTGGCTGAGAGGCCCTAATATAATGAATGAGTATATAGGCAATCAGGAGGCAACGGCTAACACACTCGACTCAGATGGGTGGCTGAAAACTGGAGATCTTGGTTATTTCGATGAAGATGGCTACCTCTACATAGTTGATCGTATAAAAGAACTCATCAAGCACAACGGTTATCAGGTACGTAAGTCTAAGCATATTCAAGTCAATCTAACATTTGCAATTCCAGATGTTACAGAACTTACATCTATGCAAAATGCAGGTGGCTCCAGCAGAGCTGGAAGCAGTTCTATTGACTCATGCCAATATACTCGATGCAGCAGTTGTACCGTGAGTTGCTTCATCCACGGGGCTAATTTTACTATTCGAAAAACATTATCTTATATCTATGTCCATGCTTATGCGTCTACCAGTTTAACATAACATCCAACAATGGGTAGCGTTGGTTGTCAAGAATCAAGATGGGACACACATAAACATTCTATGTCTATCACACAGAAAAGTTTGTCAATCCACAGACACCTACCCCAAATCCCCAATCAATGATAAAGTAATTTATCATTGGTTTTCAAGATGGGACATAGATAAACACACAGAAAAGTTTGTCAATCCACAGACACCTACCCACCATCAATGATAAGGTAGTTTATCATTGGTTGCCAAGATGAGGCATAGATAAACCATCTATTTCTATCAGAGAAAAGTTTGTCAATCCACGGACGCCTACCCACCATCAACGATAAGGTATTTTATCAGTAATTTATTCATTTGTTTCTAACAAGGTAAAAAATTCTCAGACTAGAAGATGAGGAAGCGGGACAAATACCTGTGGCATATGTGGTAAGAGCTTCTGGCAGTGAACTCACGGAGGAGCAGGTCATTCAATTTGTTGCAAGCCAGGTTTGTTCGAGCCCATCTCTTCTCTTTCATTAGCACCTGTGTCAGTGTTTCCTAATGACTCACAATATCAGGTAGCTCCATACAAGAAAGTTAGAAGAGTGAATTTTATCAGCCAGATACCCAGATCAACTGCAGGCAAAATTTTGAGGAAGCAATTAGTGTCACAAAGCAAGCAACCAGTCCCCTCCAAATTATAGAGTTATTGTGCAGAATCAGGATCTGCTTGTACCCAGACTGTAACTTGATCCGACAACTCTTACAATTATCAGAATAATAAATCATGAGCAAGAATCTAGAAATAGAAGTAATTTCGTTGCAACCTATTGTAATGAGCTTGGCATCATTTATTTTATCTTTCTATCATGTACAACATAAAGCAAACACAAAGTTCTGCAAATCCAACGAAGAACTTAATTACCATTACAACATTGTTCTTCCTGCCATGGAGATTATAATACATCTGGAACATAGGAATAATCTGAACATGAAGATTTCATATCATATACCAACGAATAAAAGAGTTAACGGAGAGAAATGCTATTGTAGTTCAATTAGGAACCGGTGATATTCTGAATACCACACAAACATAATACAAATGAATGACTGCATTACAATTTAAAATGTGTGGGTTTTAAGAATATTGAAGTTGGAATTACACAACGTCACAGCCATAGAGATGGAGAAGTCAATGAAAGAGAAAGCAAGATTAAAGAATTCTAAACTGCTGTATGTATTATCAACTGTTTCAAGATAGAGAAACCATTTCCTCATGTCAACAATGAAATATAAAACCAGAGCTTCACAAAACCTTTGAACTCAACCAGAATGGTTCACTATGTTGCGAAGGTAGAGCAATGAATTCAACCCTCTAAAATAACCTATGCAACAAAGCAAAGTTGTTATCCATGATTTTATTCTCAACTCATCCAGCAATCCACTTCCAAACACCTCCTGACCTCTGACCCTGGACAGTTTCAAGCTCCATATCATGTTCTAGTGCAGATTTCTGCCTTCGTAGTGCTTGAACTTCCTCCTCTACTGACTGCATTGAGTCAAGCACCTTTCGTAGTTCTGCTATTTGTGCCTTAAAAATACATCATATCCCAAACAAACAAATAAATAAATAAACCATAGCATGTACCGAATGGATGAAAAAGTTAAACAGTAAACTAATTAAGAAAGCAGAGGAATTGAAGGATATAAACCTCCAATTTTGCACATCTTGATCGCTCTGATGTAAGCTGACCCTGAACTGAATGAAATTCCTGCAAGCAGTCAATGAGAATGATAAGAAGATTGACAATTACAACCTTACAAACACACATGTAATAACACTATTACTACAAGAATACCTTGGATAAGTCAGTATGAGTGTTGTTAACTTCTTCAATCTTTGCCTTGAGAGCAGAGTTTTCTGCTGTAACTTCAGCAAGAGATGATTCCAATACCTTTTTCTCTTCTCTAATTGCATTAATTTCGGCAGAAAGATCCTTCCGGGTGGTATCATTTTGGACTTCCTTAAAATTTGAATCTTCTCTTTCAGTCAAGTCCAACATTTCAGGTTTTGTCAAGGCATATGCAGCAGTGACAGAAGCTGCTGCTGCAGCAGCTGCTGGTGACATAAGTATCTTAGGATGCAATGAATCCCTTGGTTTGAGCCTCATAACATATACCTAAGTTTGGTGTTGTATACCAGGAATGTAAGATAAACTTTGTTCAAGTCAAACTAAAGCATACCAGAGGGTGCTGAGAAATAATATTTAAAATTTATTAAAAAAAAAAAAAAAACTAAACTAATGCATTTCAGAATGTCTGACAGTACGTGAAACCTATTCATTTCATGTTAGAGAGATATTTATTGAGAAGTGGTCAAACATCCTCTCCAGGATAAGTACATACTACTGAAATAAGGTATAAATATCAAACATAAAAATAAATAAAGGGGAAATGTATTACATTTGTCATTGAATTAGGAGTTGTTACCAATTTAATCCTTTTATTTGATAGACACAAGAAGTATAGTATCAAGTAAAGAAATTGAGATACAATAAACCCAGTTCTTAAGTTCAACCTGCAGTTTTTTATATAATTATATTAATTAATCAGTACCAACCAAGAATGAATTACAAACGCCCATAAACACATTTTGTTAAGGGTCAACATCGCATATAGTTTACAGTGTTGAGAAAAATAATTTTCTTATTCACTACGGAGTTTTTTTTTTTCATTTGAAGCAAACCTAACATACAAAATTCAGTTATATAATGGGTGTAGTTACTTTATTGCATCAAAGCATCCACCAATGTAGCCAAAAGATGTTCCAACATCCATTTCACAAAGGCGTATCATTATGTCCTATAACATTCTTGTATCCCTCAATGAACTCATTAAAGCGATAACAAGGATTTGAGCACATTAGCTAATAGAGAATTAAATGCAAAAATAAGTCCTGGACTACTAGTAACAGAGAATATAAGAGCTCATAACATAGTAAATCACTATTTGGAAATATACCTCATTACTGTATTTCCCATTGTAGCCACCAAATGCAACCAAAAACTTTTCACCATCTAGTAATGCCGAGGATACAGTTAATCCCTGTTCCAAATCTCCAATTAGGCATAGGACATTGTTAATAATAAATTGTCATACATAAAGTATGCTCATGTTTATCATCATCTGACTGAAAACTAGGAAGCAGGAGAGAAAAGAAAAAAAAAAGAAGAAAAAAAAAAATAGCATACCCATGCTCAATAATATGCATCAAGTCACATACCTTTTCTCTATTTTACTTCGTGAACCTAATTCAGAACTTTTTGTTACTTCTAAATTGAATTCATTGACAGGATAAATTGTTTATGCTATTCAAATTTATCTATTAGTTTGCTGCTATTTCTTTTTGTTGGCACCATAGTTCAATGAAGCTCAAGTCTACCTAACTACTTCACAAAAATTCATGGGAAAAAAAGGAAGGATAAAGAAGAATGTAACACTTCTCTTTGCTATAAATTTCAAATCAGAAAACACACAAATAATAAGAAATAATGCATATGTGTGTTAACAGGAGATACAGTTCAACTTAACATATGTCTACCAGACTACCACATTCACCATATACTGGATTTCTAATGTAAGAGCAACCAATCTGGAACAATTAGGGGAAAACAGTGAAAGATAGTGACCTCACTAGCAAGTGGATCTCTCCCCTTGACACTTGTCAACACTGACACAACAAGCTTAGACATATTCAAAACTAGAGTTTCTGGCACACCTGAAAACAAAATAGAAATTCTTCAATATGTCTTGTAAACAGAAATCCAAATACACACCACATCACACAATATGTACTACTTACCACTTCTGTTATCTCCACCACCAACTATGTACCAGTTCTCATCTATGGTGACTCCAGCATGGCCAGCCCGTGAACTAACCAAATCACCCTGAAGTTGTGGGCAGGACCATTCCATCTAGTAGGTAATAAATCAAACCTTTTTTATTAATAAACATACCTCTATAAATGCAGCATGAAATAGTTAATGATGATATGAATGACTATAAGATCTATAACGAGGAAAAAAATCATTGGATGATCAAATAGCTAACATATTGCATCTTTAGACCATTTATATAACTAAAGAACTTATGAAGAGCAACATCATTCCATATCTTGAGATAATATTTCGATTCCCAACTCCTATGAAAAATTAATTTCTCTAATAAAATCTGTTATGACATACCTATCACATCCTCAATATCCAGTACAGGAACACTACTCATAGAAACTAGCAATCAGAAACCACACCCAACACTTCATTTTGCATCTCGATACCATGCCGAAAGAATGAAAGATACAATTATATAAAAACTCAAATATTAAAACACAGTCAAACAAGTATAAATTACCGTTTCCAAGTCCAGTATGTGCAGGTCATTGAAAAAAACTGAATGAGAACAGCCACCAAAAATTAGAAGGTAACGCTCTGCATGTAGTGCAGCTGAGTGATCAAATCTAGGAGATGGAGGTGTCTGCCTATCAAGTTAAAAAAACGTGATGAAGAACTCTTCATGAGGCATACACCATAAGTGGATGCTACACTAAATTGATACTTACGTGGTCTCCACAGAACTCCAGGTCTGTGTCTCAAGATCAAGAACATAAATATCATTCAGTAGTCGCCTCTTCCTGTCTTCTCCGCCAAACATTATTAGCTTAGAACCAAAGAGTGTCACAGATTGCCCACCACGAGCTACCTGGAAATGCATTACAAACAAGTTAGAAAAACCAGACATCAAATTGCCAACAAAAATATAACCTAAAAATGAAGCATGAAATAGAGCTGAGTCTTCTTCTTTTTCTTTTTTTTTTTTAATAATACCCAATTGACAAAATTGTAGCACGAAAAATACAATTGGTTGTGTTCTATGACCAAAAAAAAAAAAAGTAAACCAGTTAGAGACTAAATAAAAAGTTGTTGAGGCAGTTATTTACTGGAGGTGTTCCAAAGGTCTCCATAATGCTACAGTGCTGTGATTCCGGATCAATGATCCAAACTACAAAAAAAAAAAGTGGTGCACGGTTAAAAAAAGACAACAAAATGGGTTTTCTGCAAGGTTTGAAACACTAGCAAGAAATGGAAACCTGTTACAGTGTCAGAAATGCTTCTTGAGTGGCCAGCGAGAAGCAGCAATTTGTGACCCCAGTTAATCTGTCAATGAAATAAACATCATAAAGAAATAAAGTATCCATACAGTACAATGACCTTCTGACGGCATGACACAGACCGAACAACTAGTTCAATTGAGAACTGAATAAAGCTGAACCTTACATATAAATCAATAAACAGATTTAAAATTATAATTCGTTTTCCATAAGTAGATTAAAAACTATAACTCTGCATTAAATCTCACCACAGAATGACCAGATAAAGCTGGAAGAACTTCTGTGTTTGATTTTATTGTAGACCATGCCAGAGATTTAAGATCAAAAACCTGAAGAGGAGACAACATTTGTTATAAAAACAAAAAATTAAAGTTTCTACATCAAAATATGTATTAATGAGAATTTTATAAAAATACATGAACCACGCTGCCAGGATTTTGGCAATAGCACTGAAATTCTCTCTAGGTTTAATAATTACAGAAAACACCTGCTTGTCTGAGGCCGTAAGCTAGCAATTTTGTTTAAATTATGACAATTATAATATCCTAATCCTAATCCTATCCTAATAATAATAATAGCAATAACACAAAACAAAAAAACTATGATACCAGTTATCAGACAATTTCACTTCATGGAAAAGTACTTATCTATCTCCTACATCCTAAGTATTCCTTCTTAGAAGAAAAATAAGCACTAAGAAAATGAATACTATGTATTATAATTATAATTAACATAATAAACAAAACACAATGGCACCAGAAGTAGTTACCAGTGAATTGAGAATGGAGTGAATAAGTGAAGAGAAAAAAATAGAAACATGATCTACACTTTCTTGTTAAAATGGAGTCTTGAGTCAAACACGGATAAAGGGAAGATGTTAGTAATGGTTTGTGAGTATGACTATCAGACCACAGATCAGGAAAAAATGTGCAATTTTAAAAATAGAAGCTGTCATAGTGAAATATATATATATATATATATATATATATATATATATATATATCCCCATCTTTGAAGGAAAGAAAAAACACCAACTGTCAAGGATTTGATAGGCTATAACAATAAGCAAGACCACTACCTGAATGTCAGACAGATATCGACCATTACGACTTCCACCAGCAATGTACAATTTCCCGTCTAACACAGTTGCAGCATGCTGTTGTTCAAAAAATAAATTGCACCAGAAGCCATGGGATACAACATAAGAATTTAAACATTTGAAAAGGAGAAATTTCTGATTATGAAAGTAATGAAACTGCACCAACATAATTTGGGCGTAGAGATTTAATGGGGGGAAACATAGAAGAAGAAAAAGAAAGTGGCATGGCCAACAAAAGATCTTTCATTATTTTGGGCCATCTAACAGTGTTCAGAGTAAAGAACCTTGTAGCGAGCGGCCGGTTGTGGACCAGATACAGAGAGAGCTGTCCACTGGTCATAGCTTAAATCCAAATACCAACTTTGACTATCTGTCCCCATAGCAGCTTACTTGAGGCACGATGACCAAAGAGCTGAACAATAAGTTAAAAGGACATACAGAATACAAAACTAGTTACATACTTACATTTGGAAAACTCTAAGATACAACTAATGCAATTATACAAATAGTTTTAAATAATAAAAAGTTCTGGAATACAGGAAATTTCGAAGAAGTGGAAAATGTAACCAATCTTAAATATACTGATATGCTATGTCCAAGTCATGAATCAGAAGGAAAATACTAGCAGACTGAAATCTAACAGAGAAAGTGAGATTATTTCTTTATGGGGACAAGTGGTGTATGCAATTTACTTCCAGGATAATCAATTAAGAAATCAAGTTAAAGGTCAGAGTTAGGTTGCTCAAGTATGGAAACAGAATGGAGCCATGGAAAAAAGCAACTCCAATGAAAACCAGTAAGAAATTCTTTAACTAGGTAGCTGTGGTCCCAAAGAAAGACATGCAAAGTAGCTACCACCCAATCAGCCATATTATGGATCAAGAAATTAGAATCACGATTTGCATTCAGAAACATAAAAATCACTAAATCTATAACAGACTGACATAATACCAAGTTGTCCTACCAATGCTATAAAACTGAAAAACCTGAAATAGAAACCGACACAAAAAGTGAAAAAACGGTTTTCTAAAGACAAGACCCAAGCTATTACATAAGATACAAGCAAAACACATAGAGTTTCAATGATTTTTATCTAAAAGTTTAAAGTATCTTTTTGAGTTTCAGTTAAGAGACAATATCAGCATTTATAGCAAGGAAATACAGCACTTTCAATGATGTTCTGGAAAAGCAAAGCTTACTACAAACAACCTGGCATAAGATCAATACTATGACTGAACAATATGATTTTTTTTAAAAAAAAAACACTGCAAGTAGAATTATATAATATATGCAGTAAAATCAGAATTTAAATAGATAATAATAGTAAGAACAACAACAATTAAACCTGGATCCCTTACTGCTTGAGCTTATTATAACCAGCCCCAAAGTTCAACTCTTTACATTTATCCAGCGAAATAAATATATGTACAACTCCGCATTCTAATTCTTTCACTGAACTTTTTCTAAGTAAATACCAACCCAGGTCAGCAGATCACCAGCACGACCCAAATTGGATTAAATTTGCCATTTTCTCATAGATATAACAAGCTCCGATATCAAAAATGGGAATGAAAAGGGAAAAAATCTAAAGGGAATGAAAAATCAAAATCACGCCCATAATGATGCATTGTAACATGATATTAAGAAAATTTGGAATCAAAAGATTCAGGATTAGGGAAGTAAAACGGAATTCTTACAGAAGGGAGCTTGGAGAATTCGGATCTGAAAAGTTTGAGGAGATCGGACTGAGCGGATAATCCGATCTCGTGTCCTGCAGAGTGGTGTTGGGTAGACTGGTAACTGAAATGGCAGAAATTTGTGTGCGCTGTCTTTTTATCTATAGTTTTTTTACTTTTTTAACGTCGAAGTCTTCTGCTTTGGTATGAATTTTGGAATCATTCCAAGAATAGTGTGTTCTTCTTTGGAAGAAGAAAAAAATGAAAAACAGTGTTGAATTTGCCCCTACGCCTAACAAATTGTGTAATTAAGATTCTTAATTGAAAATTTTTTTTAATAAAATCTTATAAAATGGTAAATCACAATTAAAGTGATTAAAATTAATCCATTTTTATTGTGCAAAACTTATATGACTTTTTTCCTTAGGATCCACTTTGTATTCAGGTATCATTATCCCGATTACATTCTTTCATATTCAAAAGTGGATCATACTCAGTTACTTACATATCATCAAATTTGTAATTTTTTTACTACGGAATATTTCCTCGCACTTTCAAAAGCGAGTCTCAATTACTTATTTAAAAATAATAATTGAGCATCATCTCATTCGCCCAATACGCGTAAAAAAATTATATATATATATATATATATATATATATATATATATATATATATATATATATCTACTATCTACTATACTATCTACTATACTAATAAGAGCCCAAGAGAGTTAGGGCTATAATGGGAAGAAAAAATGGCGGTCAAATTTTTTAATCAAATGAATGACTCAGATTGATCAGATTTTAATTTTTTCTTAAGATTTCCTAATTTATCCTTAATGAATATGATTATCCATTAACTTTTCCGTTAAATATTATCTTTTCCGTTAATTTCTGTTAGTTCACCGTTAACTTACTCATTGATTTCAGTAAGAAAGGTCTTAAGTTTGAACTCCATCCTAATCAAAGTTGGCATAATTAGTACTCTATTTTACTCTTATTAAATTTAGTACTCTATTTCACTCTTATTAAATTAAAAATAATAATAATTTAGTAGCTACAACAAAAAATAATATATATGCATTTTTTTAATTTAGAATTATGTGTCTACAATGTCTTTATTCAAAAAAAATTATTCATTATCAATAAATTAAATAAGAGAAATAATTTCATTAGTTATATTGTCTTTATTTTTCTCCAATATAAAAATTCTTTACATTCAAATTCATCAATTGATTATATTCGCTACATTGTCCCTACAATGTCTTTATTAAAAAAATTATTCATTATCAATAAATTAATTAAGAGAAATAATTTTATTAGTTATATTGTCTTTATTTTTCTCCAATGTAAAAATCCTTTACATTCAAATTTATCAATTGATTATATTCACTATATTGTCTATTATCTTTTTATGCACTACTTTTTTTAATTAAATATCAAAGTTATAATACAAAATAATGCTATATATTTATTTACCAAGTATTTTATTAATACCATAAAAAAATTTAAAAAATATAATTAATAAAGTCAATCATATTAACTGCTTAAGGGATTTGTTGACAAAGAAAGTATTCAAATCACACAACAAATTGAAGTGAGAACTATCTCGTAACGTCCTTGTTTGACAATCAGCAGTTAGCGATTTGCGTTAACGAATTATATCAACGGTTGGTAAAAAGATATTTCAAAACTAATAAGAGCCAAAGAGAGTTAGGCCTATAATCGGTACAAAAATGAGGGTCAAATTTTTTAATCAAATGAATGACTTTGATCATATTTTAATTTTAATTTATCCGTAATTATATGATTATCCGTTAACTTTCCCGTTAAATATTAACTTTTCCGTTAATTTATGTTAGTTCACCATTAATTTACTCATTGATTTCAATAAGAAAGGTCTTAGGTTCGAACCTCATCCCAATCAAAGTTGGCATAATTAGTACTATATTTTACTCTTATTAAATTACTAGTTTTTTACGCGCATTGCGCGATTGGGATAATGCCCAATGTTTTTTAAAAAAAATAAGTACTTTAAAGTATATTATATTGGAATTGTTCATGTATAAATAATTGAATGTTGAATTTGCGTATTTAAATAGGTAATTCTAAGTTTACAAATGCAAGATAATATAGTCAAGATTGATTATAATTGTCAATAAAATAATTGTATAGATATGGTTGATACCAAATACGGGACATAAGGGAGAGCAAATAAAAATTAGGGCATAAAATATTAAATATATATTAATATTGAAGAGCTAAGTGCTGATTGCCAAACAAGGACATTGCGATGTAGTTTTCTACTTCAATTTGTTTTGTGATTTGATACTCTTTTTGTCAATAAAGCCCCAAGTAGTCAATATGATTGGCTTAATTATATATATTTTTTATTTTTTAAAAACAATTATTATTATTATTATTATTATTATTATTATTAAATATATGTATATCCTTAGGTCATTTTACATGTTAATCTAAACAACTAATTTTTTGAAATATCTTTTTACCAACCGTTGATATAATTCGTTGGTCAAATCCGTTAACGCTAATCGCTAACTGCTGATTGTCAAACAAGGACATTACGAGATAGTTCTCACTTCAATTTGTTGTGTGATTTGAATACTTTCTTTGTCAACAAATCCCTTAAGTAGTTAATATGATTGACTTTATTAATTATATTTTTAAAATTTTTTCATGGTATTAATAAAATACTTGGTAAATAAATATATAACATTATTTTGTATTATAACATTGATATTTAATTAAAAAAGTAGTGCATAAAAAAGATAATAGACAATGTAGTGAATATAACCAATTGATAAATTTGAATGTAAAGGATTTTTACATTGGAGAAAAATAAAGACAATATAACTAATAAAATTATTTCTCTTAATTAATTTATTGATAATGTATAATTTTTTTTAATAAAGACATTGTAGGGATAATGTAGCGAATATAATCAATTGATGAATTTGAATGTAAAGAATTTTTATATTGGAGAAAAATAAAGACAATATAACTAATGAAATTATTTCTCTTATTTAATTTATTGATAATGAATAATTTTTTTTTGAATAAAGACATTGTAGACACATAATTCTAAATTAAAGAAATGCATATATATTATTTTTTGTTGTAGCTACTAAATTATTATATTTTTAATTTAATAAGGGAAATAGAGTACTAATAAATTTAATAAGAGTAAAATAGAGTACTAATTATGCCAACTTTGATTGGGATGAGGTTCGAACTTAAGACCTTTCTTATTGAAATCAATGAGTAAGTTAACGGTGAACTAACAGAAATTAACGGAAAAGATAATATTTAACGGAAAAGTTAACGGATAATCATATTCATTAAGGATAAATTAGGAAATCTTAAGGAAAAATTATAATCTGATCAATCTGAGCCATTCATTTGATTAAAAAATTTGACCGCCATTTTTTCTTCCCATTATAGCCCTAACTCTCTTGGGCTCTTATTAGTATACGCACTTTGTGCGAATGAGATAATGACCAATAATTATTTTTAAATAAGTATTCCAAAGTATATCAATGCAATATTATATAGGAGATGTTCATGCATATGTAAATAAATGTTGAATTTGTTTATTTAAATCGGTAATTTAAAGTATATAAATGCAAGATAATATATGAGAGATTGATTATAATTGTCACTAAAATAAATGTTTGCAACTTTGTAATAACGTTAGTCTAAATACTTAGTTTTAAAGCGATAGTCTAAATAAATACTACTTTTGATTTAAATTTCTCTAATTCTTCTTAATTTTTTTTTTTTTGGTAGCATTGTTATTGTTTTCATCTTCAGTACATGTCCTCTTTTTTTCTTTGTTTTTTGTTTTTTTTATTGGTAGTGTTTCATGTGCAATTAGGTTACTGGTAGCAGCATAGAGGGATTCATCATGCAATGAGATTATGGTGTAGGAAGTTTTAGATTTACCTTGTTGTGTATATGACTGAGATTTTAGTTGTAATATGAACTCTTTAGCGTACAAACACCTATTGATATTTAGTAGTGGTAGTTTTTTTCCTACATATTTCATGTGTTGTGAGATATGTGTCGCAGGTTATCATGTGAAAGTATTGAACGAAATATTAATATTTATTATATTTGTATAAAATACTTGGTAAATAAATAAATAAACAAATAAATAAATAAATAATTATATATATATATATATATATATATATATATATATGTGTGTGTATAACATGTTTTGTATTATAACTTTGATATTTAATTACAAGATAATGTAAAAAAGAAGACAATGAACAATGTAGTGAATATAATAAATTAATAAATTTGAAGGTAAGAAATCTTTGAATTGTAGAAAATAAAGATAATATAACTAATGAAATTATATTTCTTTTAAATTTTTTTATAATGATTTTTTTTTTTAAATAAAGCATTATAGACATCTAATTCTAAATTAATTAAATGCATATGTATTATTTTTTGTTGTAGCTACTAATTTATTTAATTAATAAGAGTAATAAAGTGTCGTACATACTTTTCTTCAACAATAATGAAATCAATGATTTTTTTTTTTTTAATTTCCATTCCTTATTGAGACAAATTGTTTTGTGAGTTTGTCCATAACAATTGCTACAATTGCTGTTAATAGAGGATGATAATAAATAATTCAAAATATATGGGTACAATAGATATTAATATAATGATATAGTAAAAATTAACTTACAAATTTTTTTAGAAGTTTTCATGCATTGATAAAATTTTGATGTGTAAACTTGTTCAATTGGAGCTAGTAGGATGTTAACATTGTCAATTATTTGAAAAATGATCCTACCGTTTTAGAGTCCATGTGTAATTGTATTTATGATCAACAACTTTGTAGTTAGGCCGCGCAGGTCTGACAATGATGTAAGAACAATTTTGTTCGATAAAAAAATAATAGTATAATATTAGTAATGTAATGTACAATTGTACCATTATAAAAAAAATACAAAAAAATATTAATATCATAATGGCCTAAATCATTCCAATAATGCAAAAGCATAATTGAAATATTAAGTTTTGTTCTAAATAATCAGAAGAAGATTAATTTAAAAAAAATTTAACATAAATTTGTTTTTTTTTTAATAAAAAAATTCAAGAAAATCAAATAATTTTAAAGTAGTTCCTGATTTATAATATTTGATGCTCAACTTTGAATGCTATGTATTTAGTCGAGCTAATTATTTGACCAAAGTTTATGTTAAATTTTATATTATATATTTTTTAATACATTTTAACATATTCATAATATATGTTTAACAATTATGTCAATTATACTTGAGATGGGATTCGAACCTAAGACCTTATATAAATTAAGAGTATGTTAAGAATAATAAATAGTTAACGGAATATTTCGTTACTAAAGTTTAAACTAACGGAATTTAGGGTTATTTAAGGGAAGAAAATAATATAATAGAGGGTAAATAAGGAAAATCATTAAAAGATACTAAAATCAAAATAATATGAACCATTCATTTTAAGAAACAATTAGTACCGACATTTTTTTTGTTCCAGTTAAGGGTCTAACATTATTTGCTCTTATTAGATTTGTAGATATTACTAGTTTTACACGCGCATTGCGCGAATGAGTTAATGTCCAATGTTTATAATTAAATAAATATTTGCAAGTATATCAATGCAATATTATATATTAGAAGTTCATACATAAGTAATTTAATGTCGAATTTATTTTTTTAAATATGTAACTCATAGTATATGATTACAAGATATATAATGTTAATGGATATTCATATAATTGTCACTAAACTTCTTTTAAATAATAACAATGTATTTTTATTGCAAAGGGTTCTAATATATTTAATGAATGCACATACAAGATCAATAAATGAATCAACGGTATCAGCCCTTTAGGTGTTTTGCACGTGTTCATTTAGTTCAATCCAAAGATAACATAACCCAAAGATATTAGAAGATTGGTAAATATGATGTAACCCAACGATCAAAATGCTAAAGAAAGTGTTTGGTTATTCAACAGTTTGAAACAACAATTTGTTTCAAAACACACTTAGCGTTTTGAAGAATAATTTCCCCAAAACACCATGCTCATTGTTTGCCCATCAACGGATGGGCAAGGTTAAATTTTAAATTAGAGTCTTTTCTGACCGATGTAAAAGGAGCCTCAAGGCTCCCATGCCACTTTTTCCACCGATGTAAGAAAAATGACAAAACTAAGAAAAAACGAACGTTCGGCTCCCATATGTTTTAAATTTTATTTCTTTTATATTATTATTATTATTATTATTATTATTAGAGTTAATTCCAGCAATGGTCCTCCGACTATGTTGATTTTCCACAATTGGTCATCGACTTTTAATTTGGACAATTTAGACACTTGACTTTTAAAATCTTTCCAATGTTGGTCCTTCCGTCAGTTGGAGGTTAAGTGGATGTTAGTTTGAGGGGTAAGGTAGTCATTCACAATTGTTTTTTTTTTTTAAGTAACTTTATTCTTTGCTTTTTCTTCTTCTTCTTCGGCATCATCATCACCGGGATCAGTTCGCTGCCATTTTTTTGTTCAGTTCTTGAATCGTATTCTGGCTGCTCGATATGGGTTTGAAGGGATTTGTTGAGGGAGGGATAGTTTCCATTGTTGGCGGGTGAGAATGCCCTTGTAAAGAGCCATGTGGCCTTCTGCTTTGATCGTCCTCATGGCACAGTCCAGGGTGCCGGCGTACGGCGGCGCCTTTCCCAGCTCCACCTTCATGTTCATCATCCTAGTTTTCAGCACGTCCACTGGATTTGATGCCACCGGCACGTCTCGGCAACTCCGATCCCACCGGGTGACTTCTTTGTTTACATTCCGCAGTACGGCCGTACGGGTGTGGAACTGCATCTCTAAATGTCACTGTGGCAGCTTCTATCATTCTCCATCACTTCGGAGGTAACATGCATTCTTTTTTAGATTGCGCGTTTAGTGTCCTGACCTTGTGCTGAATTATTCACTCCAATATATTCATCCTCTTAGCATTTAGCCTTATTTAATTGCGTAAGTTTGCAGGGATATATGATTTTAAGTTTAGATTGAATGTTAGAAGTGTATGACAAAAAAGGAATGCAATAAAATGATGGCCCATAAAGTGGCAAAGTCAGTCCAAGTTCTGATACAATTGCAATGGACTCTGAACTCAAAAAATTTGGTTTCAGGATATACACAAATATAGATAAACATGTATGAAATTTATAGTTAAGGTGGGAAGGACGTAATTTCAGAATGATAGAGAACTGAAACTAAAATAGTAGTTCAGAACTCATATAAAAAATGCAGTGTGATAGAAGTTGTGTCGGTTACATTGGATGTAGGGAGGCACCTGAACTGCATTAAAGAGGCATTTGTTATCTCTGTTATTCTTCTAGTCTCTTGGTTTATCAACTTGGCTGTCTATTTAGGGCCGGGCTTATCGCCGGTGGGATCGGAGCTGCCGAGACGTGCCGGTGGCATCGAATCCAGTGGACGTGCTGAAGACGAGGATGATGAACATGAAGATGGAGTTGGGAATGGCGCCGCCGTACACCGGCGCCCTGGACTGTGCCATGAGGACGATCAAAGCAGAGGGCCACATGACTCTTTACAAGGGCATTCTCACCCGCCAACAATGGAAGCAATCCCTCCCTCAACAAATCCCTTCAAACCCATATCGAGCAACCAGAATAAGATTCAAGAACTGAATAAAAAAATGGCAGGGAAAGAATGGCAGCGAACTGATCCCGTTGATGATGATGTCGAAGAAGAAGAAGAAAAAGTGAAGAATAAAGTTACTTTAAAAAAAACTGTGGAATGACTACCTTACCCCTCAAACTAACATCCACTTAACCTTCAACTGACGGAAGGACTAACATTGGAAAGATTTTAAAAGTCAAGTGTCTAAATTGTCCAAATTAAAAGTCAATGATCAATTGTAAAAAATCAACATAGTCAGAGGACCATTGCTGGAATTAACTCTTATTATTATTATTATTATGCATACCCTTTAGGCCATTTTATATGTTAATCTAAACAACTAATTTTTTTAAGAGTAAATATCCAAAATGGTCCCTCGACTATAGCTAAATTCACAAATTGGTCCTCAACTTTCAATTTCAACACAATTTGGTCATCTGTCTATTTGATCGTTTGTTGATTGTGATTTTTGAGGATATATATGTAATTTCATGGTCCACCATCGGTTTTTTAAGGTTCCGATTGCATTTCCAGACCGTAGTGTTACATTCGAATCCACTGCCGAAAGCAATTTACCAAATCCGGTCGCCTTTCTTCATCCTCCCTTTGGATTCAATGTAGTTGAGTTCGTACCAGAGCGAAGAAGACGGCGTGTTTCCGAACCGGTGCAACGTCATCCTGGAGGCCTCCACGTGCTCCGACGAGAGCTGAAGGTTCTTCTGGAGATCGTCGATCACGGTCAACAAATGGTCAAATAGATGGAGGATCAAATCGTGTCAAAATTGCAAAGTTAAGGACTTAATTGGTTGAAATTGAAAGTTGATGACAAATTTGTGAATTTAGCTATAGTCGAGGGACCATTTTGGGTATTTACTCTTGATGGGGTAAGGACCCCGGCCCAAGAGACAGGGGCCCAAAGAAAATAGAAGTGGGCCAGCATCACAGAGGAGCCCAGAGAGTAGTCAGGTCGAGTCCAGGAGTCGGCCGAGGCCCAAGCCCAGGAAAGGACCCGGCTCGAGGAGCCGTTGAGGGCATTAAAGGGGTTCCTTTAAAAGAGAACCGTTGAAGCATTGAAGATAGGACCCGGTCGGGCTGTTACAAGCCCAGGAGAGCCGTTGGTTGACCGAGTAATGGCATCCAACGGCTCCACACCTTGATTAGCCTTGAAGTCGGCCATTAAGGGCCTTCAAGTCGGCAGAGGAGGAACCACTATATAAAGGCTCCTCCATTCTTGTAAAAAGGGGGAGACTTTTCGACACCCGAAAGAAGAGAGAATAACAAAGGATTTCCGAGCACTAACGTTATCTCTGAGTTAGATATATATATTATTGAAAGGTGTATCCTCCGACAAAAGGTTGTGTTGGACCTCCTTGGGCTCGAAAACCCTAAAACCATCACTGGCGCCGTCTGTGGGGATCGAACGAAGAGTCACGTGTCCTCTTGAGTGAGGCGAGTCCGAAGAAAACAACAGTTGAATTAGGAAAACTCCAGACATGGCAGGAAGCGAGGAACAGTCGAGCCGTCACGACAACGGACGGGAGACCGACCTGAGAAGCCAGCTGAATAGGAGAAACGCTCGGAGCCAAGAAAACGAGGCGACACCGCCGCCGACGCCGCAGATAAACCCGCAATTACCCCAGGTGCTGCTCACCCCGGAGCAGTTACGCGCGATCGGACGCTCCGACGCTCCTGCGCCGAAGCGAGCCTAGGAGTGAGAGAACAATCCCTCACTCGCCAGTCGCAACGCGAGTTGCGACCGCCTCAGAGGGCCGACGACCGACAATTGAGCCGACGGGCTGAAAGCCAACCGGTACAATCCGTTCATTCCCGGCTAGGGCCCAGCGTTGGGCGTCGGTCGGCCAGGGAACGATTAGGTCGGAAGGAGCCCAATCGTGCCCCGTTAGCCGCCCGCGACCGACAAGCTGCGCGAGGGAAGAGCCGAGCCAAAAGGGCCAGGACTGAGATTCGTCGCGTGGAGCAACCTCCCCGCAACCCCGTCCAACCGACCGAGTCTGAAGTCAGCGAAAGCACGGAATCCACTGGAAATCGCACCCGGGAGAGGGTCGAAGTGGCTAACCTAGTACAGGAGGTGCGAAATCTGAAAGAACGGATGGAGGGAAAAGCCAAATCCCCAGGACGTACGTTGCTGACCGCCTTACCTTTCTCAGACGAGGTTATGGCTTTTAAAATACCGAGTGACTTCAAGTTCCCGGAACAAGCCACGTTCGATGGAACCGGCGATCCCCGCGAGCATTTGCTGAGCTATCAGGCCAAGATGCAGGTTTTGGGGGTACGAGACCCGGTCATGTGTCGTGCTTTCTTACCCACGTTGAAGGGGTCAGCACAAAGGTGGCTGGTGGCGCAGCCCTCAGGGTCGATTCACAACTTTGAAGAGCTGGCAGACCGCTTCATGAGCCATTACGCCGCTAATATTAAGCCACAAAAGGACCTAACTCACTTAGGTGACATCCGTCAAGACGAAGGCGAATCTTTGAAAACCTATCTGGCCCGCTGGCAGAAAGAAATCCAGTCCATAGAGGAGGTCGAGGACCAGACGGCGCTCACCTTCTTCATCGAGTCGCTGCGGTCCGGCCAGCTGTACTGAGACCTGAGGGACAATCGGCCGGCCACCTATGCAGAAGCCATTCATATGGCCAACAAGAGGGCCAATACGGAGCAGGCCATGAAGTACAAGCGACAGCGCGAGGTCGGCGGATCTGCCAGCGGAAAGAGAACACGAGCGGAAGCCAAAGAAAGGCACCCGGACGTGGCTCGGCGACCCGAAGTTAGGTGGCCGTACGACCGACCAGTGGCCCACGCCTATCGACCGATTCCCGAGCGTCCGGTCCACGAGGTACAAGCGGTTTCCCCGCCTCCGCCTCCGCCGACCGACGATCGCGCGACAAACGAAGAGATAGGTAAGAACGCCAAGTATTGTCGTTATCATAAATCTTATACCCACAGTACGGAGGAGTGCTTCTACCTGAAGAAGATCATGGAGAGCATTATCCAGCAAGGAACCCCGCCTCCTAACCAGTGGAGGCGGAGGCCGAGCAGTAGGGGATGAGGAACCCGTCGCCGTTGCCGAAGGCAGTCGAGGCAAACAGCCGGTTCCCGAAGAGGAGGAGGCGCAGTGGTGCCAAAAACCGGTCATCAACATGATAGTCGGCGGGCCAGAAGGTGGTGATTCAGCGAACACCAGAAAAGCTTGGGCTCAGCAGTTGTACGTCGGGACAGTGTACGGGCGTGAGGAGAACCCCAAAAAGGTGTGTCGAGAGCCCATTGTGTTCACCGACAGAGACTTACCAGCCGGAGAAATACCGCATCGAGATGCGTTGGTTATAGCCATGGACGTCAACGGCATCGTCGTTCGGCGAATCCTGGTGGACACCGGGAGCAGCGTCAACGTGCTATATCTAGAAACCTTCACCAAAATGGGGCTGACTCGAGAACAGCTGAACCCCGTCAAAACTCCCCTTGCCGGCTTCACAGGGGACTCGGTGGAGGCGGAAGGGTCGATCACCCTCCCAGTGGAGATTGACACGTACCCGGACGTACAGAAACTCAGCATGAAATTTATCGTGGTAGACCTGGCCTGCTCGCATAACGCGATACTTGGCCGACCGGGTCTTGAGGAGTTAGGAGCCTTGATCTCAATTGAGCATCTCTGCCTGAAATTCCGCACACCGAATGGAGTAGGTACGGTGCGCTGTGACCGGAAGGTCGCCCGCGACTGCTATCTGCAGGCATGCAGAGGGATGGGCAAACGCGAGATGCGGATTCATGAGATCACAGAGAGGCCCCCGAAGAAGACGATACTACCTCGCCCAGAGCCTGCCGTCGAGTTGGAGGAGGTCGAGATCGACTCTACACGGCCAGACCGACGGGTCCGAATTGGAGTCGGCCTCTCCGAGACATTGAAAAAAGAAATTGTAAAGGTGCTCCGGGAGCACCGGACGGTTTTCGCCTGGGGCCCAGAGGACATGCCTGGCGTCGACCGATCAATCATATCCCACAAACTCGCCGTAGATCCGGAGCACCGACCGGTCGTACAGAAGAAACGATACCTAGCCAACGACCGGAGGGAATTCGTGAAGAAGGAGGTCGACACGCTACTAGCGGCCGAGCACATCCGCGAGGTTAAGTACCCGGAGTGGTTGGCCAATGTGGTCCTCGTGCCCAAGCCCCCGGCGTGGCGAATGTGCGTGGACTACACCGACCTTAATAAGGCTTGTCCGAAAGACCCGTTTCCCCTACCTCGGATCGACCAGTTAGTCGATGAAACGGCCGGGTCGGCGCTACTGAGTTTCATGGACGCCTTCAGAGGGTACCATCAAATATTTATGCACCCGGCGAATGAGGAGAAGACCGCCTTCCTGACACCGGACGGGGTTTACTGTTACCGAGTCATGCCCTTCGGGCTTAAAAATGTCGGGGCTACGTACACCCGGATGGTCGCCCGATTGTTCCAACGTTTGCTCGGGAAATCGATGGCTGCATACGTCGACGATATGCTCGTCAAGAGCCGGGAGGAGGATAAGCACGCGGAGGACTTGGCCGACTGCTTCAAGGTAATGATGAAATACAACCTTCGGCTGAACCCCAAAAAGTGCGCGTTCGCCGTCCAAGGTGGCAAATTCCTGGGCTACATGGTCACCAAACGAGGCATCGAGCCTAATCCGGAAAAAGTACAGGCCATCATCGACATGCAGCCTCCTACAACCGTCAGGGACCTACAACGGCTGACTGGCCGATTGGCCGCCCTTAGCCGCTTCTTGAGCAAAGCGGCGGACAAGACCATACCTTTCTTCGAAGCTATGAAAAAGAAGGAAGGATTTGCTTGGACTGCCGAATGCCAACAATCGTTCGAAGAGTTGAAACAGTACCTCTCAACGCCCCCAGTGCTGTCTACCCCCCAGGCGGGCGAGCCTTTATTCTTGTACCTCGCCGCCTCAGCCAAAGCAGTGAGTTCGGTGTTGGTCCGAGAGGATGACCGGGCCCAGCACCCGGTTTATTACGTAAGTCGCTCGCTGAAGGCCGCCGAGACGCGGTACACTGTTGTGGAAAAGATTGTGTATGCATTGGTAGTTACCGTGCGCAAGCTGGCACCCTATTTCCAAGCCCATACCGTTCGAGTTTTGACAGATCAGCCGCTCGGAAGCGTGCTAAGAAACCCCTTGTCCTCCGGCCGACTTGTAAAGTGGGCCGTAGAGTTGACTCAGTATGGGATTGAGTACCAGCCTCGGCCTTCCATTAAGGGTCAGGCCCTAGCCGACTTCCTGGTCGAATGCACGGCAGGTGAAGAGGAAAAAGAACACGCCTCGGAGAGCTGCCCAGGCGAGTGGTGGGAAATGCACGCGGACGGAGCGTCGAGCCGACAGCACTGTGGAGGCGGTGTCATGCTCATCACTCCGAAAGGATTCCGGCTATATTACGCTCTGAGATATCGGTTCTCGACATCGAATAATGAGGCCGAGTACGAAGCGGTATTAAACGGCCTCCGACTCGCCAAGGCCCTGGGAGTCGAGCGGCTGCGAATCAAGACTGACTCCAGACTGGTAGTCGGACAGATCTCGGGCACGTGTGAAACTAAGAATGCAAGGCTGGTGCTATACAAAGAGCGTGCGGTCGAGATGTTAAAAGGGTTCGGGGCTTATGAGATAGAGTACATACCCCGAACGGACAACACGGAAGCCGACTTGTTGTCCAAAATTGCCTTGGATGGGGTACCGGACCATCTGATAAAAATTTGCCAGAAGGAGGAGCTACATCGGCCGAGTGTTGGAGAGACACCACCGGAAGTCCAGCAAGTAGATCTCGGGGAATGGGATCGAGGGAAAAATCCCGAAATGTTCTGGATAGAGGACATCCGGCGATTCATAGAAAAAGGCGAGTTACCGGAAGACCCGGGAGTCGTCGCGAGAGTTCGGCGGAAAGCCCCCTCCTTCCGGATCATCGACGGACTGCTATACAAACAGTCGTTCGGTGGACCCTTACTAAGGTGCCTGCTTAGGCCTGAGGCCAAGAAAATAATGGACGAAGCTCATAGAGGCATTTGTGCCGCGCACCAGGGCGCCCACACGCTCGCCCGGAAGTTAGTCGTCCAAGGGTATTATTGGCCGACCATGATGCGAGACTGCATCGAATGGATGGCCAGGTGCGGCGTTTGTCAAGCATTCGCCAGGAAAGACACCCGTCCGGCCACCTTTTATACACCGGTCACCACTGCCATCCCCTTCGCCAAGTGGGGAATAGACTTGTTGGGGCCATTGCCCGTCGCCCCGGGAGGCCTGAAGTTTTGCGTCGTGGCTATCGACTATTTCACCAAATGGGTCGAGACAGAACCACTGGCTACCATCACTGAGTACCAATGTCGACGTTTTCTGTGGAAAAGGGTGATATGTCGCTTCGGCCTGCCCGAGCACATCGTCAGCGACAACGGACGACAGTTTGACTGCCAGGCCTTCGCTGATTTCTGCCGCCGACACGGTATCAAGCACACCAAGGTCTCGGTGGCGTACCCACAAGCCAATGGGCAGGTCGAGAATGTGAATCGAACGTTGGTCGATGGGATCCAGAAGAAGCTCGAAGACATCCAAGGAAGTTGGGCGGACGAGCTTGACCGAGTCCTATGGGCTTATCGCACTACCCAGCGGCGAGCGACGGGGGAGAGCCCGTTCTCGCTCGCATACAGCTTCGAGGCCAAAGTTCCAGTCGAAGTAGTCGAACCTACCCACCGGGTTCGCACCTACTCGGATGCAGCGAACGAGGAGAATTTGCGGATCGAGAAAAACTTCCTCGAAGAAAGGAGGGAAGCCGCAAGTGCCCGGATGGTAGAGTACCAGCAGGCGGTGAAAAGATATCGCGACCGGAAGACACGCCCGCGAACCTTCCAGGTTGGCGACCTCGTGTTACGCGATCGACAGGCCAGTCAGCCCACCGAAAGGGGCAAGTTTGCGGTTAAATGGGAGGGGCCATACCGTATTGCAGCGGTGGTTCAAGCCGGAACCTATAAGCTAGAGACCATGGAAGGCAAGCTCATAGATCGCATATGGAATGCCACCCATTTGAAAAGGTTCTATCAGTAGAAAAAGGACAGGCCGTGTACATGCCCCAGGATTCCAAAAAAAAAAAATCTAAATAAAGCACATGGGTTACAGTTAATCGACCGAGGGACTCGGCAAGAAAAGATAGGAAACAAGGGCCCAGACCCTTAGACGTTTCCGAAAAAAAGCCTACAGGAGTCGCCTCGACTGAGGGACTCGGCGAGTATTGAGAGAAACGACGGGGCACTGACCCTAAACTGTTTCTGAGATGGAAAAAGCCTAATGGGTCGCCTCGACCGAGGGACTCGGCAAGAAAAGATAGGAAACAAGGGCCCAGACCCTTAGACGTTTCCGAGAAAAAGCCTACAGGAGTCGCCTCGACTGAGGGACTCGGCGAGTATTGAGAGAAACGACGGGGGCACTGACCCTAAACTGTTTCTGAGATGGAAAAAGCCTAATGGGTCGCCTCGACCGAGGGACTCGGCAAGAAAAGATAGGAAACAAGGGCCCAGACCCTTAGACGTTTCCGAGAAAAAGCCTACAGGAGTCGCCTCGACTGAGGGACTCGGCGAGTATTGAGAGAAACGACGGGGCACTGACCCTAAATTGTTTCTGAGATGGAAAAAGCCTAATGGGTCGCCTCGACCGAGGGACTCGGCAAGAAAAGATAGGAAACAAGGGCCCAGACCCTTAGACGTTTCCGAGAAAAAGCCTACAGGAGTCGCCTCGACTGAGGGACTCGGCGAGTATTGAGAGAAACGACGGGGCACTGACCCTAAACTGTTTCTAAGATAGAAAAAGCCTAATGGGTCGCCTCGACCGAGGGACTCGGCAAGAAAAGATAGGAAACAAGGGCCCAGACCCTTAGACGTTTCCGAGAAAAAGTCTACAGGAGTCGCCTCGACTGAGGGACTCGGCGAGTATTGAGAGAAACGACGGGGCACTGACCCTAAACTGTTTCTATGATAGAAAAAGCCTAATGGGTCGCCTCGACCGAGGGACTCGACAAGAAAAGATAGGAAACAAGGGCCCAGACCCTTAGACGTTTCCAAGGAAAAACCTACAGGAGTCGCCTCGACTGAGGGACTCGGCGAGTATTGAGAGAAACGACGGGGCACTGACCCTAAACTGCTTCTGAGATAGGAAAAGCCTTGAAAGGTCACCTCGACAGAAGGACTCGGTGAGCAGTTAAAAGAGACTAGGTCAAAGGACAAAGCGTCGAGCTCAAGATAATACGAAAAGGAAGAGAAAAGGGGAATTTCATTAAAAAAAAAAAAAAAAGGCCCAAAAAGGAGGCCAGCCTTTTACAAAAGGGGGCTAACCCCAAGCAGAACAGCCCTAAACTACGGGGGAGGGGGTGTCGACATCAATCCCTTCGACTTGGGCCCCTGCCGTTGGTCCAGTCAGGGGAACAGAAGAAGGGTCCTCGGCCTGAAGAGAGGACTCGGTGGGCTCAGGAGGTGTGGCTAAAGGAAGAGCCGCTGGATCAGAGGCTGTCGGAAGAGCTGCCGGGTCTCTAGTCGCCGACTGTCCTTCAGTCGCCGGAAAAGCATCTATCACGGGCTTGAGGCCCCAGCTCTCGGGAGTGAAAGAGGAGTCACGGACCAGCAAGGCAGCATGGATCTCTGTCTGCGCCTCGCGAAAGCCGAGGCGATAGTCGCGCTCGCCCAAGTCCAGGAGAAACTCGTCGCCATCCGGCGTCGACAGCCACTCCTTAGCGATCTCTTTTTGGCGAGCCTCTATCGCCGCCTTCACCTCCGCCTCGAAGGCGGCCGACTTCTTGTACTCCTCGACAGAGGTCGCAGCAATCGTCGCCACCTTGTCTCGCTCCTCCTCCCACTGGCGAGTAACCCTCAGCATCTCGGAGTTGTGCACCTCCACCACCTTGAGGTGCTTCGCCTGCTCTTCCAAAAAGGCCTCCTCCGTCTGACGTAGCTTGTTGGACATAGACCGCATGTCGGACAGATAGTTCTGCAGCCGCTTTCTCATCTCCATCTGGAAGGTGAGGTTCTGCGAAAACAGACACGAGTCAGGCAATGAAAGAAAAGGACGAAGGGGAGATCGAGTGGGAAACTCTTACGCGGTACGATTGGCGCAGTGAGGCCTCGAGGATGTACCCGTCCCCCAGAGCATGAGTCGCCTCCACGTCCTTAGGTAGAAGGACGTTAGCACACCACTTACGGACAGAGGAGGTGCCCATCCAGATCTGGGCATCCTCCTCTACCTTATGACACAGCCGGATCCTTTTTGGAGCCGGCTCGTCAGTTTGAACAGCCGGGCGCTTAGAGCCAGAGCTCTCTGTCTGAGGAGGAGGTGGCTGCCAAGTGGGCGACACCACTGGTGACGGAGTCAGATCCACCACATTCTGAGGAGGAGGAGGAGTCGGCCTGGGAGCTGGAGACGGTAGAGAAGAAGAGGCGGCAGCAGTACCGGAGGAGCGTTGGATCAGCCGACGCCTCATCTTTTCGGCTCTGTCTGCCATCTCGGGAGTCGGTTCAAACGCCTCGTCGGAGCTGGAGGAGTCGGAGTCGTACGGACCTGCAAAAAAGAAAGAGAAAGCATGAGGTATTCCGAGTCGGAATAAGACGAGATAAGAAAGGAATGAGAGGTAACGAAGACTACCTACGGTGGCCGCACCCTCCGGTAGCAAGCCACGCTTAGCCATGGCCCGGACTCGGGACCAGTACTTGACGGAGTACGGCCCGAAGCCCTTCAAGAACTCGCCGCCCAAGACCGCATCGTCGGAAGGAACGGCACGTCGAGGACAAGGCTTGAACAGAGCGGCCGGCCACAGGGTCGGAAAAGTGAAAGAAGAAAGGGCAGGGCGGACGAAGAAATAAAGGAGTTTCCAATCCTTGATGGAATCGGACAACCCCTCGAAAATCTGTCGCCCCAGGCGAGCGGCGACTTGAACGAAGCCCGGCGAGTGCGAGCCAACCTTGTTTACGGTAAAAAGATACCGGAACAGGTCAAGGTCCAGCTCGCACAGCCACCAGTGGCAGAGATTAATGAAACAAGTAAGGAGTCGGTGAGAATTGGGCACCAACTGGCCCGGAACCAAGTTATAATGGCGGTAAAAAAGAGAGAGAAAAGGACATGGAGGAACTCGGAAGCCAAAGGCAACCGAGTGTAGATGGATGCCGACACAACCCTCGGGTGGGTCGTAAATTTGTCGGCCCTCCGGGGCAAGAACTATGGCCGAGGGCCCAAGAAGATACTGGGCCATCTCCAGATCCGCCGCAGTAGCGACGGACGGCGGCCCGGAGGGACGGACGATTGGATCAAACTTGCCCCGCGGCCGTATAACACCACCCGGCAGAGCCGCCACCGTCGTTAGAGGAGCGGGGCTCAGCGGAGTGACCGCCCCCGAAGAAGAGGGGGTCGGAGGAAGAGAAGATGTCGATGGAACGTCCGAGGGAAGTTCCGTACGGCGGTGGGAGGACGTCAATGGAACGTCCGCCGGAAGTTCCATACGACGAGGAGGAGAAGAGGAAGATGAAGAAGGAGAAGAAGAAGAGGGAGAAGTCGCCTCGGTGTTGTCGACCGAGTAACGACGAGAAGAAGAAGAATGCGAGGAAGAAGACATTACCTAGATCAGGAAGGAAATTGGAGGAGAAACAGAGTGGCCGGAGAAGCTCGAAGTTGAAACTGAAAAGGAGAAGATTGGAGAAGAGAGTGGAAAGAGAGACGAAGTGGCTATTTGAAGGGTAGGAATGTCAAAGGGCGGCCACGTGCCACCTTCTCGTTGGAGGGGCTGGAGGTGACGAGACGTGAAGGGACGCCGCATTTAATGCCTCAAAAGGCGGGACGACGGTTCAGGCCTAGGGTTAGCCCACAGACGGCGCGTCTACTCTAGGCTAGGGACGAACGTCACGTGACCCGGCCTGTTAAGCCGGAAGCCCGTAGTGGGCCATGGCCTCTGAGCCCACAAGATACGAGCTGGAAGCTTCTGGAAGCGACCCGGTAGAGCCCGGCTCATCAGATGATGTCGGCCGAGCTCATGAAGGAATACCGGTCGCGGGGTCGGCGGTCAGATTCGGCGACTCCCTCGGCAGAAGGATCTTGCCATAGCAAGACTAGGGGTCCGTCTCATGGATCCGGGGTCGGGCGACAAAAATATGGTAAGAAATTGTGAGGTCGGATAAGAAAAGCACACTGTTTATTCAAATCAACACGAAGGTTACAAGGCCCGGGACTCGGCCGGTGCAAATTACAAGAGAAAAACAGAGTCATGGCTTGGCCTCCTTCTCTGTCGACGAGCGGGCAGCCGGAGGGCCCTCTAGGAAGTACTGGGGGCGGAACGGTAGAGGACTCGGCTCAGGCTCTGGCGTCTCGTCCAGATACACGGCCGGCTTCCCATCGTCAATCATTTGTAAAGGCCTCTCCAGGGCGCTCGGCGACATGGCCACGCCGAAAAGCGGAGGAACCTCCCACACCTCTTCCTCCTCAGGAGTAGGATTCTCGACCTCTGGTCCGGGATCCTCCACCACAGGCTCCATCTCCACATCGATAGACTCTCTGCACATCAGGTCCAGCATGTCCGGAAGCACAACGATGGGGTCTGAAGCCGAGTCACCCACCAGACGACCCCCGTTAGCCAGCCTCTTCTGCCTCAATCGCTCCAGTCGAGCATGCTCCTTGTTGCGAATGGACCAGCGGCGATCACCTTCCCTATGACTCATAGCGCCGTGCTTTCGCAAAATGAAGAGTGTTGCGATTTGCATCTACTGGGAAGGGTCTTTATATAGCCCAGGGAAGGCGAATATCTAGGCAATAATTACGGAGGAGACTGGCATAACTGAGCCGGATTGGACGGATGATGGGAATCTTTGTCAGAGATTAGTTCCATCAGATTCGCCCAGGAAGAGTAAGATTCGCACGCCAACATCGGATTTACCCGAGCTATGGGGAATCTTGCAGATGTCAGACTGAAAAGAGTCTGATGATGTGACCGACTCCTTGACCAGTCGTCCGAATAGGCACGCAACAAAACACGACAAAACGCAAGGCAAAACGAAAATAGCGCTTTTATTATTATTATG